CGACGAGATCTACAATTTCTGTATGAAATTTTCTTGCTAGCATTAATAGATTACGAGTTATTGACGAAAAACTGTTTTTTCGTTTTTCGTCAATAACTCGTTAAATATTAATGCTAGCAAGAAACTTTTATACAGAAATTGTAGATCTCGTCGTCCTCTACAAAATGCCCCCAACAACTTTCCCTTACGTCCATCCTTTTGGGAGTTATTGGCAAAAAACGAAAATGTCGCGAAATCTGAAGGGGTACCCCTTGGAAAAATCTCGGAAAAATCGAAAATTTTTTTTTGTTCGTTATTATTAGCAATGTTCTTCCGACGTCTGATTTCTTTTTAAAAAATGCGTTTCTAAAGTGCATAAATTTTTGGGATTGACTGTACAGCCAATACATCCTTAAATGCGATTCTCATTTTACAAAGCATGGAGAGCGTAATACTGGGTGGTACCCGTCAAGAGAACGACTACGATCGCGTTCCCCGGGAAGAGGACTCGAAATTCATACGCGAAAACTGTTGCAGAATTCTGCCTGCTCTCAAGGTTCGTTCGTATTCACAATGTTTCACGACAATGATTGTTGATTTGTAATCTTTCTCAGAACGCACGGGTACTAAAGGAATGGGTCGGTCTCAGACCGGGTAGACCGGAAGTGCGTATCGAGGCCGAAGCGTATAAGTCTTCTGAAGGAAGACGAGTCAAGGTATCGCAAAAATGTCTGATCACAAAGTTTTGCGAGTCGTTCCCCTCGGATACTCTTTCAGGTAATACACAATTATGGGCATGGGGGTAGCGGCGTGACGCTTTGCTGGGGCTGCGCTTTGGACGTCGTGGAAATTATACGGAACATGCAGAATACGAAATCTCGTTTGTAACGTTTAACCGAGGAAATACATACCTTTTATTTAGCAAATTCTCTGATTCGTATAACGTAATGATACACCCTACTCGTCCCCCATTCCTTGCGAGCTATCATGATAACGTTTTACGACCGCACGAACTCTGCGGCGGCATTCTGTAATTAAAGCCACCAGGCATTTATCAGTAGTTTGCGTTTTACGCGAACCGTACCCGCAATGTTATCGATAAAACCGCATTGTCGCACGCATTTTGTTCCCCCGATCCGATGATGCGCCGGGGACAGTGTCAGAAATGTACGCGGCGGTGCACCGGCGGAAATATTTAAAAATTCCCGTCGAACGCAGTTTCCCACGTGAAATGGAAAAACAATTGAGGCGAGCGGGAATGCTTGAAACGCGACGATTATATTCTGGGTAGTGGGACGTTTCCGTAAATAGCACCGGATTTCGATTTCTCGTACAAAAAAATTCACCCATAACCGAATCACAACTCTCTTCCACCGAGGATAATAGATATCAGCCATCGATCCCTTTGCCCGGACGGTCGTCTCATCGTTTCGCGTTCGTACGAAAATTGACCGAATGGATCAAAGTATAATGCGGGGCCTGGTTTGACGTATGACCAAATTAATGCCATGCGACGACAGATCGTACGAAATAATGATACACGCCGGTCATGAACGACATCGAACGCAGCAACAAACGTCCTTTGATGGTGGTGCGCGGTGAGATTGAACTCGGCGAGACGAAGAAGACGTGCGATCGACCGGACGGGGAGCTCAGCAGCGAGTCCGATTCGAGTACCGAGGTGCGATCATGTAAGACCGTCTACAGGAGCCGAAGCAAGAAACTCGTCGTGTCCGACAACGCGAGCCTAGTTCCGTTCACCGATTTTATTAAAAATGATCCGATTGTCAGCGCAAAGAGAGAGGACAAAGGTATACGCTTCTAACCTTCGGGTCGGTACCGATCGAACGCGATTTTCGATTTATACGGGTTTCGCAGCAGACTCATCGTTCGTCGACACCGACGTTGAATTACGAAAAGATGGGGCCGTCAGCAGGAGGAAGAAAAAGAAACGAAGGTACCGTCGCGTTGGACGTACCGATTTTCTTCTCACGTTCGTTGGTTCCATTTTAAAGATACCTGACGATATGCACGAGCAATTGCAAGTACGAAGCGGTGAGACGGGTGGCCGCCCGTTTCGGCATGAAGGAGGTCACCGAGGATAGCAGCTGGAACCTTTACTGGACGGACTTGAGCGTGAGCGTGGAACGCGCGAAAGACATGAAGAGATACCAAAAGGTGAACCATTTTCCAGGGATGACCGAGATATGTAGGAAGGATCTGCTCGCTAGAAACTTGAACCGAATGCTGAAGCTGTTCCCGAAGGACTATAATTTCTTCCCAAAGACCTGGTGTTTCCCCGCCGAGTAAGAGAATCGTGTTCGCCGGTAATGACTTGTTTACGAGGCGATTTGTGAAAGAGTACGTTTTCAGTCACGGGGAGGCGATGGCCTACGCGAAACTGAGGCGATCAAAGACTTTCATCATCAAACCGGATACTGGGTGTCAGGGCCGGGGGATTTATTTGACGAGGAACTTGAAGGACGTGAAACCTAGCGAGCGGATGATCTGCCAGGTCTACGTGGCCAGGGTACGCATCTTTGAACATTAGACATAGGTTTCCGCTCTTCCTTTTGGTGAAGATCATACATGTTCGTAGCCCTTTCTGGTCGACGGCTACAAATTCGATCTCCGTATCTATGCACTGATCACCTCCTGCGACCCGCTCAGGATCTACATATACAACGACGGACTCGCGAGGTAATTCGACGTCGCGCGATCGAACGACGAATTCCAATCGAGATCGAATGAAACGCGTGTACATACGTGCCGCAAGAATTGTATTAAACGGAATAAAAATGCGTCTTGATCTCTCGAAAAGCGTCACCATATGATTCGAATACTTTCAGATTCGCGACCAGCCGATACAAGGAACCTACCGGACACAATACTTCTAACGTGTTCATGCACCTGACGAATTATGCCGTCAACAAACACAGCCGCATGTACGTGATCGACGACGAGATCGGTAGCAAAAGGTTCGTTTTCTGAGTAATTTCGAATTCATTGACGGATTGACGATAAATTGCTTTTAAAAATTGCCGTAGAAAAATATCGACTCTGAACAAATGGTTTAAAATGAAAGACGTCGACGTGGACGAGTTGTGGCGCAAGATCGACGAGATCATAATAAAAACCGTTTTGGCAGCGTATCCAATTCTGAAACACAGTTATCACACGTGTTTCCCCACGCACGACAAGACGTACGCGTGTTTCGAATTGTTGGGCTTTGACGTGTTACTCGATTGGAAGCTGAAACCGTATTTATTAGAGGTGACGATTACGATACCTCGTAAGGAGAATAAATCATTCGAAGAGAAAAGAAAATTAATGTGTTTAGGTAAACCATTCACCGAGCTTTCACACAGATGCACAAATCGATAAGGACATAAAGGAAGGATTATTGATGAACACGTTCGACATGCTGAATTTGCAGCAGTGCGATAAGAAGAAAATTATCGAGGAAGATCGGAAACGAGTCAGAGACAGGCTTCTGCAGGGGATAAACACAAAGGATGGCAGGTAATTACGAACGAAAAAAATTTCGGACGGGAGGTCGATTTCGAGGCGTTATTCGCTTCCAGTGTGAACGATTCGACGATCGGTACAGCGAAACCCGATAAGCCGGAGGAAGATTACCTGCAAAAGCAATTTAAATGGGAGGACGAGCATATGGGCAATTTCCGCAGGATCTATCCGTGTACTGATATCGAAAAATACGAGCCGTTCTTCAAGCAAACTGGCATATCCGTGTACCAGGATACAGCAGCGTCTCGGGCCCGGGAGGAAGCAGCCAGAGTTCAGAAGGAAGAGAACGACGTACGTTTTTAATTTACTTTGATAAAAACTATTTAACGAACGTGATCGGATATGATTTTCAGACGAGGGTAAAGGAGCAGGAGAATAGAAAGATCGTTGGGAAGTGGAGCGATTTCAGATTGCATCCAGAGAGCCCGAATTGCGTTCTGCAGAAGCCAGTGATGAACGATCAGGAAAGGAGTAAATCGGCGAGCTTCGCGAAAAGGAGTTCGCCGCCTTCGAATGTCGGTTTCTCTAAATTAACGGGTCGTAGCAAAGCTCGCTAACGAAACTGTTTCTCTGATCGTACAGACGAAGAAGCACACACCTGCGAACGGTACGTTGAACTCGTTCGAACCGGAGATTATATCGGAGTCGGAGGAACGGGAGCGCGTGACGGCGTTGGCACAAAGAGATTTTCTGATCAAGAGCTACGGGATGTTGGAACAAATTTATATGGCGATGAAGAAGAACGGCACGTTGCGGGCCGTGGACGAGAAGAAATACGGACTGTACGAGAGACTCGGGTACGCGGAGAGTATGAGCAAGAGTGCGTCCATGTGTCGGCACAAGTGTTACATTCATCAGAACTCCGGGCCAGAGACGAGATACGAACCGTGGACGAGCCACTCGTCGCAATTTTGCCTTAAAGCAAGTAAAGCAGATAATCGAATGTATCGTGAATCGAACGTCGGAGAACCGATGTTAAAACGCGTTTTTTCTCTTCGTTTCTCCCACAGGGTAAAGTCCCGGACGATGAATTTGTATTTACGAGTTTAAAGAAAAATAATAATTTCTAAGCGCGAGGTGAGAGCCGTGCGCCGTCATCGACGGTGACCGGTGGTGTACGAAAACGGTTTCGATTTTTCAGATTTCAAAGTGACCTGTAACGAGGCCCCGGTTTATACACGGCCAAAGATACCGAACAAATTTTGGGTCGACGATCTGAATTCGAACGATCGCGACGGCCGTATCACCAAGGCCCACGTGGCTCGTACCCTGTCCAACGTTGTGCGCCTGCATACGCTCCAGAAACGGGGAGAGTACAGTTTATCGAAATTTAAACGATGCTACGAATAGCGAGTGCCTTTTTATAAGAAAAGTCCATACAACGTTATCTGATGTATAAATTTAAAAATATCTACTCATAGTCTCTCCAAGTGATTCTATACGTTAATACGCGATTTATCAAACGAAAAATGATCTCCCCATTTTAACAACTTTTTCACATGTGGAACGATGGAAATAAATTATTATTCGTGTGAAAAGATACCGTCTGCATTGAATTACTGATAACGGAGGGCCTAAATTCCAAGTTCCAAAACATTTCACAAAACATGTACGTATCAGAGACAGAAAGAGAGAACAATGTAAAAATCAACATGGTATGGATTTGTTATTTAAAGTGCCATATAAATATGTACAATGAGTGGACATGTACACGTTGAGAAAACGAGAATATCTCCGCACGCATTGATCGTGTATCGTGTAATAATGACATACGTACGTCCATCTGGAATATGTATAACAATCTCGTGTTCTTATTGTTGACGCACACACCTGTACGTATGTCAGTATTGATATGATCGAAAATAATCTACAAACAATTTGTTGTGTATATCTCTTTCAATCGTAATATATTCACAATTTTTGCTCTATTAAACATGCGACCTTGACACCGGCTTCCATACGTCGCGTTGTTCTGATTGCTTTCGTTTCAATTGTATTGATTCAATTCTTTCTGGGAAGAGAAACACGATACGTTGAAAATGAACGATCGATTCTTACGACGAACGAGTGACACTCGAGACTTCCTCAGTATATAGAAGCGTTAAAATAAAGAATTAGTAAGAATTCAATTACGAGTAGCAAATATCGATCACGTATAAAGTAATAATACAATAATGGTCGTAATAATAATTAATGACGGTAGTAATAATAATAAGGACCTGCATTAGACAAGTTCGTAAAATTATGTCACGCGTGCACTTTCGTTTCCCCGTTATCGCGTTTACCTTTTGCAGGCGATCCATGTACACGAACAAATTGATAGAATATTTGGACAGTTGTCCAAGACTATACGCAAAGTGGAAGAGGATTCCGTTTTCGCGAAATCGTTGATCCATAGATCGTCACGAGGTTGTTACGAGATGAAATTTGATTAAAAGACGACGAGGTGTGATTAAACGTTTCAAGGTAATTGTAATGAGACAAACATTCAGACACGTACATATGAAATGCATTTGCTTCGAAACAAATCGTACAGGGGGATTAAGCTACCGTTGAACATGAATGAAAGAACTTTTTTATGCGATAAGAACGAATCGATGACGTTCCTCCCTTTCCTTTTTTAGGCGTGTGTCATGTTTATATAATAGTTTCGCAAACAATGATCTTTGAAAAATAGACAATACTAATAGTCACTTAAATTACGATTCGTTTGTACTAGAAAACGATTATCCTTCGATCCTGAAGATCTCGTTCCTATTTTCGCCCACCTCCGCGCATCGCAGTTCAATACCATACTTTATTCGCTTAATCCCTTTAATCCTTTCCATACTATAATTTCTCGCAGTAGAGAAAATAAAAAGAATCTGATCCGAGTGTATCCCTCTCCCCTTTGTCCGTCTTTTATCCACCGCGACATGACAAAATATAGAATGAAGATATGTGAAGATGGTATTCTATTCGTTGTAATACTAATATGAGCATTATATAGTTATAGGATTTTCGTGTACGTTATTCGTATAATATTTGTTAAAAAGGATTACAGTAAAAGAAAAGCTCCGAGCGTGAATTATACGGAGAGAAACCCCTTCGGCGGAGACCTCTCCGTCTAATACAGGCGTCAAATAGTAAACCGATAACTTTATGTAAATGAACATACTACGTACACATACATACATATGTGGCATGTAGTATATAAAACTGTACACAATACGAGGACTCGTTATTAATTTCACGTTAGCTGCCGAGAACACTTGCGACGTGTATGCGTGCGTACAGTTATCCTTTTAGTTGTAACTAAATACGCAGAGATTTTCGACGTTATGATAATAATCGATGAAAAATATACGACAACGGAACGTCGCGATTTAAGTTGTTCGAAATTTAATCCTTTGGATCACTTTAATCAACGTGACGAGTTCGATGATAGATGGCAATGACATAATTGGAAATTATAAAAGCTGTTAATTACTTTTGAATATCAATTATAATTTATGAGGAACGTGCACCCAAATCTAAACAGAGAGAAAGAACAAGAAAACGAAATGTATCGTTCCGTCTCCTATGAATACGCACTTTCAGCAATTCTTACTCTTTTCCATTGTGTAATACAATATATATATGTACACACACATATACATATATATATTTATTTCCTGTGTATGATTAGTAATTTTGAATTAAATGCAATTGGAAGTATGAAATCGAACAAATTTTATCATATAACTTCACAGTCATAGAAAAGATATTTCCTATTTATAACGTGCCTTCCAAGATTCGTTTCACGTATTTTTCATTACAATCGGGACCACGACTCAACGGCGATTCAAAGTGAAATAATTCTTTTTTTTAAACAAAATCGACTTGTTCCGAACAAACTAAAAATTTAATGTATCCTTCCTGCCATCTCGTTCATTGATACGATTCATTGTTATATCCTAATATTTCAACAAGTTAAAGCTAAGATATTAACAAACAGCGCATCATGTTTATGTCGTGTGCACGATTTCATACGTGCACACCAGTGTATGCTGCGTTACGTTATGTGNGTGTAATACAATATATATATGTACACACACATATACATATATATATTTATTTCCTGTGTATGATTAGTAATTTTGAATTAAATGCAATTGGAAGTATGAAATCGAACAAATTTTATCATATAACTTCACAGTCATAGAAAAGATATTTCCTATTTATAACGTGCCTTCCAAGATTCGTTTCACGTATTTTTCATTACAATCGGGACCACGACTCAACGGCGATTCAAAGTGAAATAATTCTTTTTTTTAAACAAAATCGACTTGTTCCGAACAAACTAAAAATTTAATGTATCCTTCCTGCCATCTCGTTCATTGATACGATTCATTGTTATATCCTAATATTTCAACAAGTTAAAGCTAAGATATTAACAAACAGCGCATCATGTTTATGTCGTGTGCACGATTTCATACGTGCACACCAGTGTATGCTGCGTTACGTTATGTGTGTGCAATACGCACTCGCACGCGCGCGTGTGTGTGCGCGTGTACAAAGGTGTAGACGCTAACAAAGAGTCACTCGTGCGTCGCATATACGACGAGTCAAGAAGTGTTATGGTTTAAACTTAACTAAAGGTATATTTTTCGATTGTAAGCACTTATCACACACCCATTCCGCGTAAACCTCTGCTGTTAATAATTGGTAGGCAGTTTCCGATAGTCCCGTGCATCCCCTGAAACAGACGTTTCATTCTACACGTCGTATACACGCTTGATGATTTATAGAAAGAGGAAACACGGTATATTGCATGCAAGATGTTGCATACCTGTGAAACCAAAAATTGCAACCTGACTCACAAAGAATTGCCTGGTCGTTATCATGCACTTCTTTGTGACAAACGCCGCATGGGTAAATAGGCGGAGCGTTCGGATTCTGCGGATTGAACACCATCGGTTGATCCGGAGGATATATCTGTAATGACGAAAGAGATACACACGATTTTATATCGGATGTGAATCTCGAAGTAGATATTTATAAGCGAACGGACAAATGAAATTACCTTTCCTGCAGAGACTGGCATTGGTTTTGGTCCCATTCCCGGTGGACCTTGGAAACCGTGAGGTGGCATCGAACCTCCCATGTTGATCGGATGACCCATCGGTGGTCCACCGCCCATATTACTCGAGATCGAACCCATTGGACCGCCCATGTGGCTCATTTGATTATGATGACTAATACTCATATTAGACATGTTATTCATCGGTGGTCCTCCCATGTTCATGTTATTCATTTGGTTCGGACCGCTCATGTTCATATTATTGGACACCATGGAACTCATGGTAGTCATCGGTCCGTTCATCGGTCTTCCCAGGTTATTAAGATTGTTCCCCATGTGATTCGCATGCGGTTGAGATCCATTGTGCCCCAGCGGACTGTTCACGTTGTTCATAGACGGTCCGTTCAGAGGACTGTTCGGTGGTATATGGCTGTTCATATTGTTCATATTCATCGGTCCATTGGGCATGTGATTTGACCCTCCCATTGTGTTCATAGGAGATCCCAATGGACCACCCATAGGACTTCCCATACTATGACCCATATTATTCATCGGACTTCCCATCGGGCCGCTGTTCATGTTGTTCATCGGGCTGCCCATTGGCGGTCCGCTAAGCTGAGAATTACCCATATGACTCATGTTCATGTGGTTGTTCATGGTGTTCATCGGTCCAGGTGGCATGCTCGGGCCCATGTTATTCATTGGACTCATTCCACCTATCGGTGTATGGTTCATAGGAGACATTGCTCCCATATGATTCATATGATTCGTCATGGGCGAGTTTCCCATCGGACTCATGCTGCCCATGTTATGTGGCATCATAGGGCTCATCCCACCTATAGACGTCAAGGGACTCATTCCTCTCATAGGCGGTCCGCTCATATGGTGCGGGTGATGAGGGTGCATATGAGGTGGTCCGCCGTGCATCATCTGTGTCTGCGTCGTTTGCGGTGGTGTGTCATCGAAAGGGTTACTCGCTACTATCGTGTCTCCATAGCCCGTTAAAGGCGGAGGTAACAAATCCTAAAGCGGTAGTTTCTCGTAAATACTAGTTTGTTCGAGTCAGAGACTAGGTTGCAGATTTTTATAGACGATGCGTTTGAATAAAACAATTGCTACGAAAGTGGCGAAATTACCTGCACTGTTGGTGGTTGCTGTGGAGGTGGCTGAGCAACGTTTGCATTTGTACGCCTTTTCTTTTTGGGATTGGCACCGGTCGGCGGTGGTGGCGGTGGGTGAGGGTGAGCAGAAGATTCGGGATGTGGAGCATTAGGACCCATGTTCACACCCATGCCCATACCCCCCAGAGGCATCCTTGCAAAGGGTGGCATGCCTGCAATATTGTGGCTCATCTCCTTCGTTCGATTCTCTTATTTTAACATGCCGTATCAGCACTGTAATTGTTTCCTCTGATACGTCTTCACTGCTGTTCCACTGGATATAAACATATCAAATTCTGCTGAATATCAAGTGAACCAAGTATCATTAAAAAATTCATGTTTTTGTATTAACGATAGAATATGTTCGTCATTTTTCATTTATGAAAAAGTATGTATAGTTGATAAGTACTGTAATGTGTAAATATAAATAAATGATACTTTATTGGATACTGTTTGAGAGAATCGCGATTCAATTAAAAATGGTGCATGATCTTGAACGATAGTGTTCTGGGAGATAAAAGTAATAAAAAAAAAATATAGAATCCCTTGAAGAGAGAAGAAAATAAAATCTGTCGATGCTAGTTTCTCAGGCTAACCTAACCTACAGATTTTTCTAAATAGTTTATCAAGCTCGGCGATACGTAAACGGTATGGAACCGGGTATACGCGTCGGATGGGAAGAATGAAAAAAACTGGTTTACGTACCAGCGCATTATAGTTGGCAAGATATCGACGTATACATGGCTTTCCCGTTTTTTCGGCAGGGACCAACACCATTGAATCGTGTCGTGCGCCTAGCTACCTTCAACGGCTGGATCGACGCGATTCCTGGTTTCCCGTCTGCGCCCCTCGCCAGTCACATATTTCACGGTGGCACGGATGTAACTCACATTCACGAATGTGCGGGAAAGGCACGGTAAACAGTGGTGAGATGTCAAAAATACACGGAGCGAGGAAGCGCACGCCAGCCTTTCAAGTCGCCATTGTCGCATTACGCGTGTCCCCTTAGAGCATATACTACTGGAGGCAGCACTCCGCTTGCCGAAGTGTAGGGGAGT